TAACTTTTTCGTGAGACAAACGTATAGTCTTGTAATCCAGTGAAGTCAGGGCAGGTAGAGATCTGCACTCAATCTTTATTTCAGAGCATAGCTTTTGATTCTGTGTTTTATGTCTCTTAAAATACATTGTTAATTCAGCAGAGCTGTTTTCTGAAGGTACTTAGAAAGGTAATCATTGTGTGTGAGTGAAAGATTTTCTCATGTTGTCCTCTTCTCCCTGGAAGATGTGATAAGATCAGTTTCCAGCCCCTCCGCAATTGTCACACACCCTGTTTTGATGCTAACAAATTGTCTTTAGCCTTTTCAAGCAATGTCAGCTGTACGTGTCATTTGCTTATCGCTTTTCTCTTTGGGTTATTTTGTCCTTAAACAAAGAACATTAGTAAGCAAGAAATAGCTATTTTGTAAAAACTGCATAGCTAGACAGATTTGTGATCCTTATTAGGGTAATAATCCATCTGTTATGGAACTGGATCAATTTGTAAATTAAATTGATTAATCTAGCAGGGAGAAAAAAAAAAACGTCTTGACTTTTCCCACATAAGCATTTCCTCAAATGTAGTCATCCTAAAAAGATTTGGGAAGACTCAGTTCTCTGCTAGTCTTTCTTTCTCTGCTCGACTCAGAAGGAAGACCAAACATCTGAAAGTGGGAGAGTGGAGTTCAGCTTTTGGATTCCATGGGATCTGATTGTTCCTGGAACTTCCGTATTTTTGAGCTGGTATAATGTTAAAACCTTCTGACGACTGCCAGAATATTTCTAATACTGATTAGTTTGGTAAATGTATGACTGTGTTTGAATTATCTTCTGCAGTTAGTTTACTGTTATTTTCATCTTGTCTGATCAACAAAATCTTCTGATGATTCTTCTAACAATGTGTGATTGGAATAATAACTTCACATGTTGAAGAGTTTTGTGCTGCAGCTGAGAGGCATGTAAATACAAGCTGCTTATTTGCAAGAAGCTTCCAGATTTGCAATATGATTGCTATGGAAACCACATAATGAAAACCTTATAACCATCTGTGTGGTTTGATGGATTTTACCGCATAGCTGAGCTGTTTTTGTTTACTGTTATTAAAATGTTGAATGGAATATATTAGCCCACAAACACTGACTATTTGAGGTATTAATTAGTATTGTATAATGACACCGTGACTCAACACCAAAATAAAATATGTTTAATAATAAACCTAAATAAAACAACATGTGTGTATATTTCTAATATATTGTGGAGATGATTATTGCCTAGAATTTTCATTTGTCCTCATATATTTTTTGAGTGGTGTGGAGAGTTTTTCTCTGTTAATAAATGAACATAGTAGGATTTATTTTCATGATTTTGAATCCATTTGTTCACTCCATATTTATTGAACATCTTTGTACCAGACTGTATTCAAGGTTCAGTCTGAGTTTTTCCCCCTAAGATTAAAACACACACACACACACACACACACACCCCAAATTTGATTTTGTTTTCTTTTATATGGAAGCTGTTTGTATTGTTAGCCCAAGATAAAATGAGTTGTTCGAATATTATTAAGAAAAACTGATGAATGAAATGCAGAGGGTTTTGACCTAAAAATAGGTTTGAAATGGAGAAAGGAAGTTTCTTTAATGAGCGATTCCTCCTCTAAAATACTACTTGTTCAGCATCTCACATGGATTTCAATTTGGATACTTCTCAGTAAATATTGATACTTAAGTAATTATTCTGGTAATTTAAGAATACATTGTGTACATTATAGGCACTTAAATTTTAATAAAATAAGAATAACGCCACAGTAATAAATTCTTCTAAGTTCATTGTTTACTTTGCCAAAAGTGGAGTTTTCCATTCAATTACTGTAATTAGTTTTTGTGCTATCTTGACACTAACTTTGGGTGGTGAGTCTACATCCCATTGTGTCTTCTTGAGAGCCAAAATTAGTGCTCCCTAAATTGTTGTGGTCATGGCTTTTGACGTGAGGGCAAGCACCCTTCACTGTTTTTGAATTTACTCCTTACTGTCAGATTTGTGACCCAGTCGGAGGAGAGGGAGTGCTGGGGAAAGAGAAAGTGTGAAAAGTAAGGAGAGTTTTCTCCTCCTTTAAGAAAAATTAACCATCTGTAAAATAAGTAGGTTGGACCAAATGACTATAAATGTCCCTAAGAGCTTTAAAATTTGTATGAAAACATCCTATTAACTCATACATGATAACTGGTCCTTGCGGTTTGGCATAAGTGAGATAACTTGTTGAAGAGGAAAAAGACAGGATTTAGTATTAGGTTTTTATTAGGTCTTCCTGTATTAATTACTATTTGACCGAACCATATTAAATTGCCAACATTAGGGTCAACTTAATATGTATAAAGTCCCAAATATTTCCAGCTGTTCCCTTTTTTGGAGCTTTCATGATTTTGTTTGGATTGAGTTACAGAAATTCAAAGCAGTTCTATGTTTGTTTTAGAAGTACAGTAACTCTCAAGCTTGATGTAAATGTTGAATTTTATTAATCACCACTTAAAATTTTGCACGAGACTTCTAATTTTGCACCTGTACTCCTGATCTCTCTACCAAACTTTCCAGTTGCCTCCAGACATTTCCTCTGCGTTGCCCCACCAGTACATTAAGTCTCCCACATCAGAGGGGCGCTGGGTGGCACAGTTGGTTAAGCTTCTGACTCTTGTTTTTGGCTCAGGTCATGATCTCAGGGTTGTGGGGCGGAGTCCTGCTTTGGGCTCTGTGCTCAGCAGGGAGTCTGCTCGAGATTCTCTTTCCTTCTCCCTCAGCCCCTCCCCCCATGTGTGCGCGCTCTCTCTTTCTCTCTCTCTCAAATAAATAAATTTAAATCTCTCACATCAGGGGCGCCTGGGTGGCTCAGTCGTTAAGCGTCTGCCTTCGGCTCAGGTCATGATCCCGGGGTCCTGGGATCGAGCCCCGCATCGGGCTCCCTGATCAGCAGGGAGCCTGCTTCTCCCTCTCCCACTCCCCCTGCTTGTGTTCCTGCTCTCGCTGTCTCTCTCTCTAATAAATAAATAAAATCTTTAATAAATAAATAAATAAATAAATCTCTCACATCAGAAACACAGCTCCTGTGTTCCCTCAGCAATATAGCTTATCTTGGCTATTCTTTTCTCAGGAATGATGTTCTCATTTCGCTGTTAACTAAGCTCAGAACTTGAGTCATTCTCGATTGCTCTTCTTCCCTTAGCCCTCCACATCCAGGCAGGCACAAAGTTTATCAATTCTAGTTCCTTTCCCTCTTATAACTGGCTCCTTTCCATTTCCTCTGCCCCTTCAGTTCAGGACTTCCTTCCCCTCTAGCCAGACTCTGAGTGGTCTCTCTCCCCACACCCTCCTTCAGGCTATCTGGGACAATGGGATCAGATGACCATTTCTCAAGCATAGTTTTTGGTCCTGCCCTTTCTCTGCTCGAACATCTTCTGGGGCTCTCATTGCCCACCAAATAAAAGGCAAAAGTCCATAGCCGGATGTTTATGGCCCTTCAACAGCTGGCCCAAGCCACTAGCATTATCTGCCATCCTGTTCTTCCCCTTTGAGTACTGCATTCTTTAGCCAAATGGATATTATTGCGCTTTTTCTTTTGCTTATGACTCTCCCTCTGTCTAGAAATTTCCTCCTTCCCATCTCTCTCTATTCAGATTTTCTCCACCCCTCAGAGCCTTCTCGGTGTTCCCCCTTGTATGGTTTCCTCTCTGCCATCCTTCTGAACCTTGTGCCTCCCATGTCAGGTTCTGTGCTCCTTTCTGTGCCTTTTGACATAGAACTATGTCAGGTTCTATGCTCCTTATCCTATTTTTCTTTAGATACTGTCTTCTGTCCCCTGCAGGCTGTCAGCTTCCTGAGGGCAGAAGCTCCCTACTGTCTTTGCCTCCCTGGTAGAACCTCTCTCTTACAGGTAGCTAATATCCAATGAAGATTTATTGGTTGAATTATTTAATAGTCATAATGGCTATATTTATATATTTTGCATATTTTAACATTTTTGATTTTTCTTGAAAGTATTCTTTTTGAACTCTGTTTTTTTGGGCATGCCATTTTGTTCCTATGTCCTGCCTTAAATATTTCCACAGTGTGTATAAATCCTTAGGTGAGGAAAATGGACATGTAATAAATGGTTCTTCAATGTAAAATAATTAAATCTAGTCTATTGACTCTGTTTAAAACTCTTCTCATTTAATCTTCTCCTATTTCTTCCTATAACAGGGGGTGGGGGGGGGAGGAAATGAACGTGATAGGAGAGCGTGGGAATAACAAACATAGGGCCCTGAATACATTGCAGGATAAAGAACACGGACTTCATGATCACAAGCCTGAGTATGAATCACAAACAGTGGACGTTTCTCTACCTTTTTGAGCCTCAATTTACTCATCTGTAAAAGGAGGGTTTAAAATGGTCTGTGAAATCTTAGCATCTGCAATAACTTATGGCACAGGGTAGATCCTCAGTAGAATTTGAGGGGAATTGCCTTGAAAGGCGAGGATCCTTCTAGTCTTCTCCTGTGAAGATCAAGTGGGAACACATGAAGTATCTGATACACAAGAAATGATTTACAGGTTAACTATATTTTATTTTATATCACACATTTTCTTTGGCCACACCGATGTTTTAGGGATGATGGTTTTATCCGTGGTCCTCCTGCCACAGTGTAATGTGGGTCTGTCCATATAGTGCTGGGTGTTCCTTTCCCGGATTTCAGGGCCGGTCTGGACTTAGCAGTGTTCCAGATGAGTTTCTGTAAGTACTTAAAGTATGTGCGGCATTAGTATGTATCTTAAATTTTATCAAGCCAACTGGTAGGGTTGCTATTTGGAAATAGCTAGAGGTTTGTTTGTTCAGCTTTAGATTACTGAAAAAGGAATGTGAATGTTGAGTGGTTTCATCCTTTGAGAAAGAATATTTATACGTCTAAACTTTCAGTTTTGCTCCTAAGATGGGGTGAGTTCTGTTCTTTCTGAGGAAACCCTTCAGTGTGCCGTTTCTGCTTGTTTACAGAAGAGGAAGAGGACAGTGTTCCTGCGAAAGTGGAGGAACAAAGGAAGATGAGTCAGGACAGTGTTCATCCCACCACAGGTAATGGCTGGGGTGGCTTCCTGGGGAAGCTTCTTTTGGTTTTGTTCACTTTCCCTTCAGTCACTTTCCTACGGCTCTAAAGATGTTTACACAACTCCCCGAAGTTGGCTGGTTCGATCTGGATATCTTACGGCTGATAAGCTGCTTAGTCCCATTTAGGATGCATGGAAACCACTTGAGAAGGATTTATAAAGTAAGCCAATTTATACAAGGTATTCCTTCCTGAATTACTTTGTAATGACTCAATTAGCTTTCATTTCTGCACAAAGGAGATTTAGTTGCATAAATTAGCTTATCATCATTGAGGAAGTGTCACTGCTAAAGGACAGTTTATAGATACAACATGCAGTTGCTGTCAAACCTATAAGAATGTAATATAGACATCTGTGTATACTTTGTGCTTGAGCAGAACAGACTTCTGCCATTCAGAGACTAACAGGGGACAACAAGTGGCCCAGGGGACTGGCAATGTAGACATCTCTGAAAAGGTCAACTTGACACAGGCTCTGACAATCGACCCACAGCTCTGTCTTCTTTGATAAAAATCAGATAAACTTAAGACCGCTAATTGATCTGCAGCCTGTTTAAATGTTGGCCATGCATATCTTCATTGCATATGATTAACACAGAAAGCAAATGAATTGGGTGTAAGAAATGCCAGAGTCCGGTGACAGCAGTTTAAAAATTGGAAAAGGACACTGATGGCCTAGAAGGCTAGGAAGGATATTCCCCTTATCCATTTCCACTTGGCACATGGCCCCGCGTACTAATTATGAGTGAGACTAGAAAAATAACTATACATGCTATGTACAGAATCACATGATACGTGCAACTTTTTTTTTGCGGGTTGTTATTTCCAAATAGCAGGAGATAAACCATATCTGTAGTGCAAGCATGAGGTTAGCTTTGATAAACCAGCAATTATTTTACACGGAAAGAAGAGAGGGGGAATGCCTTCTTATCGGGCCTTTTACACCTCTTCACAGCCGCATGTCAGCTGGGGCAAGGTCTGCCATATCATCCCATGTCCTGCAAAGAGCTGGCGTTGAGGGTCACCTTCCCTTCTCTGATACGTTCATACATCACTCTTGCTAGCTGTCAGAGGCTGGGCGGACAGGAAGTGTGTGTTCAGGAAGTGGCTTTCCCCAGGCCTTCCTACCGGGACACGTGGAAAGGAAACAGGCCCGATTTCCGGACCTGGACAGGAAAGCAGGGGCAGGTTGCTGCACGAGGTTTTGGTTTGCTTTTTTCCAGAAAGGAAGTGAGGACGAAGGCATTCGATGTGAGTGCCGTGGTCCTGTAAGATGCAGCTATAAAACGCGAAGGCTGAGCGTAACCCCGAGGATGCCACCCAATAGTAATTCAAGTAATTTGCGTGTTTTATTATGTATCGTAAAGCTTCTGCCAAAAGCGTGGAGGTTTTTGGTTTTTTTTTTTAAATTCCAGTGCAGGTGTAGAAGGTACACACATACAGATATTCCTTCCAGAAACAGAAGTATTTTGGCTTAAAGCAATTCTATTTTTCAAAAATCCTTTTAAAGTGACTCTCTCCCCAATTTTTGCCTTTGAGGGAAGGAAGAAAAAAGTCCGTTTTTCTTCAAAGGAATGCAGTGAGTAGATCTAGCTTTCCATGCAGTAGCCATAAAGCACTGCAATAATTCTTATCTTCAGTGACATGAAATTCTTTTCAAGCAACAGTTTTAATGCTTTTGCATCGCCGTGACCTTTGCTCTCTCTAGGCTGTCAAAGATGTAACACTAGAAGTTTGTTTGCTGTGCAGGGCAGTGAGTTGACAAGGGTGCTGCTATCTTGCTGAGCATCACATGACGTGAACTTCTAACCTTACTCAAGAATGTTATACATTTTTCACATTGACCAATTTTACTTAAAAAGAGAGAAGAAAATTCAGACGAATGTAAAATACATAAGCGAAAACATAATCTTGTATTTCTTATAAGTTCTTTCATGTTCAAGCTTACGTACCTTACATGTATTTAGTATATATACACAAAGTAAAGATTCCACTTGGTTTATTTGTACACTGTAGAATATGCTTACCTTTCTGAAATACTTCTTAAACCTCTAAGACCACTCAGGAAGAGATTTTCCATTATCTTATTATTGAATGTTTCAGTCCTTGCCATCATATTTTTAAAATCTTTTGGTTTTTGCAAAAGTATCTCCAGTGTTTAGCTTATATTTTCCTAACAGTTCTGTTACTGTCCAGTGATCTGTTTTTGTATGTTTTCAAAAGCAGGAGCAAATACATCATTTAAATCCTTCACAGCCTGGCTAATTTAGGATGGCTATTCTTTCTTTCTTTCCCTTCTTTTTTAACCATTCACGCCTCCCAGGACAAGAAATGTAATGAGGTGGGTTTTGTTTTTTGCTTTTTTTTTTGTAATTTTGAAACCATAGATCATGATGTGGTAAGATTAGTCCATGCAGTGATGACAGACGTATTTGTATTCAGAATGTATGATTCTCTGTGGTTTATGCATTATGCCCCATACCATTTTTGTGTTGTTTTTTAAAAACATTTTACACGGATTATTTTTCAATGTATAGGCGAACAGTGCTAACTTTTGTGAGTTCATTCTGCTTCTGAGGCTGTATCCATGGGTAATTTTTTGAGCATGGTTAGCTACATTTAAAATTTTTAAATCTAAAAAATTGTAAAAAGTAAACCAGAGAAGCTTGCTGCTCTCAAAGGAATAAAATAATTCCCACTTTTTGTAGCTAGAATTCATACCCAGAATTTTAACATTATTTTCCCGAGGAGAGTAAGGCTAATAAATCTATACTGGCAGGTTTTCTCTCTAGTCGTGGTTCTTCTGCTTTATGTAACTAGTATTGCATTCTGAAATAGACGGGATGGTAAATTGTGTGTACATATAGTCGTGTGACATAAACAACTTATTATTCTTTAACAGAGCTCACATATGGGACACAGAAATGAGGTTGGTCTTTGGGTAACATCATCATCGAGATTATAGAAAGCACAGTAGAAAATGCATCTTTTCCCCAGTATTGCCAAATCGCTAGCGCTGTTGCCTCTTTACAGCAGTGAGATTTAATGAAATGCTCATGATGCACATCTAGGGAGAGATGCATCTTGCACACGGCGGGGGTCTCCCTTCCCCTCATGTGCTCCTGTGACTCCCATTAGTGTTAATGGGAGTTTCACCAAGTGCATCGAGGGGAAGAGAGACCCCAAAGTGATAAGGATTATGTGGTAGAAATCACCATATACTTTTTCTTTCCTTCTTTCTTCCCCCACCTCTTGAAAATCTTTTGAATGAAAAACTGTTGCGAGAGAATCTGAAAAAAGAGGAGCAGGCTGGACAGCTGGGGATGCACTGGGAGGCTCTCGCTCAGCCAAAACTTCTCTAGTTTTAGCCCAAGTTTTGTTTCTTTAACCTTTTTGGACCAAGCCTCAGGCTAAGCAGCATGGGGAACACACAGGAGCCTTGACTGGGGAAACCAGCTATTTAGATCCTTTTACCTCCTGGCCAGTGACTGTGGGGGAGGGCCTTGCATGTGAAATGATGTCATCCTCTCTGTGCTCTAATTCCTTGACTTTTAAACTGACACTGACGGACTGCATGGGGTGCAACATTTGACCCATTTAGCAGTTGATTTAATCTGACTAGAATGTCTCAACTTCTAAATCTCTATTTGTCTAAATAAGTGGTTTTTAAAGGAAATCAGTCACTTTATTATTAAGTAATTCTTTCCAAAAGAAAAAATTGACAACGTTTGGCGTGATCTGTCCAGCCGGAGTGCCCTCTAGTGTCCATTTATAGAATTTACTTAATAGGTGCTTTGCGGGGAAAATGTAATGAAGGGTGGCCGCAAGCATTGTTAGTTCTTGGTCGGATTCCTAGGCTCATAGACATCCCCGCTGGTGGCAGTGATGAGTGCTCAGATGCTGGAGTGGAGAGGTCAGGAAGGTGTCCGTCTCTCTCTCTTCCCCTCCCTCCCCCCCTCCTTCCTTTCATTTCTCCATTTTTCTCTCCCTCCCTACCCCCACTTTGAATTTTTAGAAAACAGGAGAGGAAAATTTAATAGGAGGATTTTGCTAGGTTGCGCATTCTAGTTATTGTTTATTTTCTTAAAGTACAATTGAAAAGTGTCATCTTTCTACATTTTCACACTCCACATTATTCAGATTTCCTTTTTGGCTTTAAAAACATGTTTCAGATATTAGAATTTTCAGAACTTCCGATAAACTTTTACCACTTGGTGTAAATCGCAGACTGCATGGTGTCAGGTGCGTACTCAGATGCCCCGCTAACATGCCTGCCTGTGTTGGCATTGCCAAGGAGCCTGCTGCTTGAGAGCCATATAACAAAACTAAGATGACAACGCTGATCCAGCACGCGTCTGCGCAGTTATCCCCTCAGAATTCAAAGATGACATTCCAATGATGGAAGTTGTCAGCACGTCTATGTTCTGCCTGGTTAGTGAATCCACGGACATCTTATTGATATTACTTGCATTCTTCTTGCGTTAACTCATCAAAACTCAATTATCATGAAATTAAAAACAGGAAACAGTTCTCAGTGTAACAAAAGCATCCAGTGTATTTAACTCTGTGCTGCGTTTCAAGAGAGCCACATTGTATAAGTGACAAAGCATTTATTACCCAGTTTATTGTGGTATCACAGAGCGGAGAGCGCTAAATAATCAATCAGTTAATGGTCTGTATGGCAGTTTGAGCACATCACATCCATTGTGCTTATGCTGTTAGAAGGATGAGCTGATAACTCAAGTGTATGTTGCATGTTTATTCAGAGCGTAATGTCCTAAACTGGGGCTGACAGAAATCTTGAAAAATGCAGCTTCAGCATTGGCAATTGCAAAGTTGCTCAGATATTTTAGAAATAACTTTGAGAGGCTTTCGGTACAAAAGTCCCCAAAGATAAGAGTTGGAATTACCCTTTATGTCATTCCCACTTTATCTTCTTCCTCTAACCAGCTTGAGGTTTTAGAATTAAACAAACAAAAATTGTTGCCTAGTTTGCGTTATATCTGTGCCCTATTGGCTCCTTCATGATTATTTATTATTGTTTATGAAACATCCCAAATGCTAACTTATTTTCTTCTTCCCTTCATCTGTCTTTTTTGGTAATTTTTAGAAATTCTGTAAGGTGGTTATTTCATAATGCATGTATCACGTGTCACGGATATTGCTCATCGTTCAGTGTGACCAACTCACCTTCAACTCATGTTGCGAGTGGGTTTAGGTCCATTATCAAAAATAAGTGGGAAGGAACTTTTAGGTGCTGGTTTGATGAGAACACATTGCAAGTACAGGTTTTAGATAAAACAAGAGAGGGAGAGAAAGAAAACAAGGGACATTCCAAAAGAGGTCTTTTTGAAAACAGTCCTTCATTAAATTACTGTAAGAAGTAGGATTTGTCTATAAATGTAATCAAATGTTCTTTGAATCAGGACAGAATTTGTTTCGCCTGTTTTGGTGGTTTGAGGCGGCCCTTTAATTTCTGTTGGTTCATCTTAAATAAGGGCCCATTACGCGAAAGCTCTAACTCATGTTTTCTCTCTCTTCTTCCTAGGAGATAAAAGCACCGATTATGCGAATTTTTACCAGGGTTTGTGGGACTGCACAGGAGCTCTTTCTGATGAGTTGTCATTTAAACGTGGTGATGTGATTTACATTCTTAGCAAGGTAAGAAGACACCCCAGATGACAACTGTAAAGGGTGAACACAAAGCTAGATATTTATGCATCTGGGTTTACAACACTGGGGAAAAATGCCAATTGGAATTCCTTTAGGTCCTTGTTAACAATTGGGAGTTCACAATAATTAATTATTTTGTCAAGTGAAATATAATCAAATTTTAAACACAATCAGATAACAGGATTCAACTTAACAGTGTGTTTACCTATCACTTCAGCCTTTGGCTCACATCCACACACTGCCTTCTCCAGAAACAATATACTTATGTGAAAGTTAACATTGTAAGGTATTAGGTTATTTATTATGTTTTTCTTTCCTCTTCCTTTTTATTCTTCTGTGTGCTTATTCTGGTTTTGTCTGCCATTCACTACTGGAAACACTGTTTATAGTAGAAGTTTTTCATCTTTATGTAAATACATTGGTGTTCCGACAATTTAAAAGCAATGCTTTTTCTATTCAGACAGTTTTAGGTGATTTTTTTTAAGTTTAACATAGTTGTATTTGTAAACATAATGGCAGAGACTGTTGCTACGAACTCATCCTTATGTATATATAAATCAGTGTCTCTGCCTCTTAATATACTGGATGATTGAAAATCTTTCTGTCCTTAGATCTAAACGTCATGTTTCTTATTGTGATGACATGTGTGAGCTCCCTTAATTTTCATATTTAACTTTCCCTACTATGATATGGGGATTAAAAAAAACTCCCTCAGTCTACATTATGAAGCTATTTTAGAAACAAATGATGTATGAAAACTATTTAAATGTAAGTAGGGAGATGTTCTATAAGTCCAGGAGTTTAATGTGGTTTCTTGATTAGAGAAAAATTTGTACTTTTCAGAAAGATAGTATGACTTGCTAGATGCAGAAGAGAATTTGGAAATAAGGTCACTTATTGACTCTTAACACAAGATGGCTGGTGGATAAAATCCTAACGTAGAAGATCATAGAGCACTTGAATGAGGAATCTGAGTGATGATCGTCTACCCATTCTTGGTTTTACAGATAAGGGAACTTGGGTCAAGAAAGGGCCAGAGCCAGTCCTTAACCAGGCATCTTGACTCCCAGACCAAGGTTTTCTCCTTTTCTCTTTTGCTTCTCATTTGAAACTGTTATAAAGTACCTACAAGGGGCAGAAAGGGCCCATGCCAAGCACCAGGAATCCAAGAGGAATACTATGGAAGCACTTGTAGATTATTGGGAGGAAATATTTAGTAAGTAAATATTGCCAGCTGTGATGATTGCTAAGTTGGGGTGCCCAGAGCTAAGACTCCCCACTTATTTTTCTCTGTCCTCTGCTCCTTAGTATGTTTGTTTGTTTTTTAAGGAAAGATGCTTTTAGTTCCTGGGAACCAACTCCTGGATTAAGCCTATTATGGAGCATTTAATTGTCCTGAGTTAAGGCAACACTTTTTTAACAAAAAGATTTTATTTATTTATTTTTGAGAGAGGGAGAGAGAGCACATGAGTGAGCACAAGCAGTGAGGAGTGGCAGAGGGAGAGGAAGAAGCAGATTCCCCGCTGAGCAGGGAGCCCGATGCAGGGCTCCATCCCAGGACCCCGGGATTATGACCTGAGCCAAAGGCAGACGTTTAACTGACTAAGCCACCCAGGCGCCCCCAGGACAACACTTTTTTTTGAGTGAATTACTTAATATAGAAACCAAACTGATTTATTTCCATTCAAGATAGTTTCTTGGAATTATTCCTCAAATCTACTCAGCTCACAGTTACTTTCACCAACTTAGCTGCAATTGTGTATAAAATTAAAAGGTTGATTAGCTTCCACTTGGAATCCCAAACTACAGGGATAAATGGCTTATAGTCTTAATATTATTATGGTAAAATGTGAAACTTATTTTCAGCGTGGGTCTGTTCTTAAAGCCTTCTTTATGAATCAAGGTGTCTGTGTTGCTGAAAAGCTCAGAGTACCAACCTCTAGGACACGCTGTCAGACAAGTAGAGTTCCCATTGCCTCAGAAAATTGTTTTCTATTATTATAAAGTTAAAAGAACAATCCTAGGTGTATATCACACTTCTAGGATCCCAGTGTAGGCAGTTTCTGTTCCCAAATCCGTTTTGTGGAGATTGTAATTTTATGTGTGAAGCTTTATCATAGAGCTGAGGGTAGTGGTGATCCAGCTCAAAGGAAGAGTATAGTGCTATCTAAAATGTCTAAATGCTATTATTTGGGTACTGCGTACCAAAAATAATTCCTCAGTGAGCCCTTCACAAGGCTTGAAGTTCCACAGGTAGCATCATTTCATGAGGGGCCGCCTGGAAATGATGACTGTATCTGGAGCTCATGTTGGTTTTTGAAAGAGGAGACAAGACATTGTTTGCCAGGACCTTATCACTGTTGGCTGAGTGATTTAATACCAGTATTCATCCAGCGGTGGGCCTGGTAGAATCAACCAGGTACATCTTGGTGAGGGTAAAAAGAAAGGACACTTAGCTCTCCCTTGATGGGATGTGGACAAATTCTGGGCCATTATTCGATATCTTGGCTATTGGTTTTCAGGTTGATTTGGGAGTCAGTATATGTTTGTGAAGATTCTTGCTTCCGCAATTTTGGGGGGATAGTTTCAGATAAGAATCTCTGGAGACTGTAATAATTTTTTTATAGGCTTAGTCTCCCAGTTTTTATCAAAACTTTGGCCAAAATAGACCATAAATTAATATCATAAATTCATTTAATATGTGAATGACAGCAATTTGAATGTTTAATACTACTGTAAATTCAGGACTCAAGGTCCTTAGAAGAGAGTGAAAAATTGCTCAAAAGGACTTGTTTCTAGATCAAGGGAGAGAGACAGATTTTTTTTTTAAAGTACAATTAGTATAGAAACCACTAGCATTGTTATAAGTCTAGAAATCTGTTTCATCTTTCTCAGAGTTACATTAGGTTTTATGGTGATAGAATGAAATTTTACCATTTTAATTTATTTTTTACACCATCTAGTGGCTCAGAATGAGTGGTGCAGGTAATTACAGCTAATGTGCACAATCAAAATGATGTCATAAATTCAACTTTAAATCTAGCTATGGATTATTACTTTCCTAGCTCGTGTCAATAAAGTATTAGCATTAATCATAAATTTTTTCATCATTCTGAATTAAATGTAAACATTGTATACATAAAGAAGAATACATTTTAAAGGAGTCTTAATACAATATTTGTAGAGGTGTAAAAAATGTGTACTTTGTAGAGAAATTAATGTCACAACTTTTCTAATAAATAATGCCATTTAGAAGATTTTAAAGAAATATGACTGGGGCACCTGGGTGGCACAGTCGGTTGAGTGTCTGACTCTTGTTTTTGGCTCAAGTCATGATCTTGGGGTCGTGGGATCAGGCCCGAGACTGGCTCTGCGCTCAGCTCGGAGTCTGCTAAAGTTTCTCTCTCCCTCTTCTTCTGCCCCTCCGCATGTATTCACTCTCTTTCTCAAATAAATAAATCTTAAAAAAAAAAAAAAAAAGAAATACAACTTGCTTTTCAAAATTAACTGCGCTATATTTTGCAATATTTAATTACCACTGATCTAACTTACCTTCTAGAAGGTTGTCATTGCTGAAGATACTCTTAAAAAAGGCAACAGAAGATAGTTTAAGAAAAATGCACTTAAATATAAACAAAATTTAGATAAATCAAGGACTAAAAATGGTGTGCATTATAATAAAGAGGGTCTTAATTTTGTAAGTGAAATGACAGAAAAAGATTGAACTAGTTTGACGATTGGGCTGTCTTCGTTAAAATTCACTATAGAAATATAGTTTGGGTTTTTTTAATTTTATTTATTTATTTATTTATTTATTTTTTAGATTTTATTTATTTATTTGACAGAGAGAGACACAGCGAGAGAGGGAACACAAGCAGGGGGAGGGGG